ACTCTAGAGGAACGTGCGGTTATGGGCTATTTAATGCATATCCTAACCGTGCTCATATCTGAAAAGGAGTGATCACAGAAAGAAAAAAAAACCGATCTGAAGACAACTAGTAACTACAGAACGTGGCATTCTACGAAGCAGTGACTTCATCCTTATATTCGTAACAGTGACTCAAGATGCATGAAGATTTATTAGACGCTCAGGTGGACGCGAAGTATCACTTTCTTCTTATTTACACATCCATCGAACGACGAATGGCCGTAGCGTAACCTCCACTGCGTTCCGAGTACCCTCTGCTTTCTATTGCCCATGATGTGGATGTCAGCGCAGTAAGGATACTCGAACGTCTGAAGAAACTGCAGTCGAAAACTAATGCGTCCATTCCGACTCAGACTTCCGTCAAATATATTTAAAAGGCTTAGAATCCTAGTTTGTATCCCCCTCCTTCGAGTTTTCAGGCGACTTATCGAGAGAGAAATGCTAGATAAATTTCGAAGCGCCATAGTGTAACCGATACGAACGATGAGATTGACAAAGGGACACTATCGCTACCTGCGGTAGCATGCAAACTAGAAAGCACCATTTATGCAGCCGTATACACAAACGCTAATGAGCAAGGATCGATCTCTCGTGCTCAGCTGGCCGAGATAAAGGACCGATCAGTAGTTATTGGGAAAATTTCTACGAATGGGCAAAATTCACCAATATGTCGCAGTAATTCAACATGTTGTATTTTGACTTCAGATCGGCGTTCGAAGAAATATGCATTCCATACTCCCCGCATATATTACCCTCGTACAAATACTTACTGCTGCACATGATCTAAGCAAAAGTCGACAAAGGCAAAGCGGTTTACTATTGCTTTGAAAAAGGAAAGAAGAGCTAAGAAAGCTTTTAAGGCGGATTAATAGGTTAGATTTGAAATTATCGGTTGAAAAATGCGCCATTCTACATTTTGGACACGGACATTTCAATCCTGTGTACTCTATTGGCAGAGACTTAAAAGTTGCCGTACTAGCTATTCCAAAAAACACACGTGAACGATCTAGCTGTTTGAGCAACATGCTGTTTTAACGGGATCTTATGCTAGCTTGTTTCAAAAGACCCAATTTTGTATATCACGCTTCATTGTTCAAAGCCTGACAAAGTTGCAAATGCGTATGCAAAATGCGCTGGCCTAAAAAAAGAGAGCATCGATTCTCGATAAATCTAACATCATTTATAAATAGACTTTCAAACGTATCGGCAAACGGTTTTCAAGCGTACAAGCAGACGAGACAACGTAAACGACTTATTTTTGTAGATGGTCCCCCGTGCGCTGCGCAAGCAATCATAAAGCAATAGATAGCTTCTTTGTTGTTGCCATTACGTATACCTACACCATGATGACAGAAGCTTTGAAAGGAAGAAAATATGTATAAACATTCGTTAATTATAGTCGCAGTTAGGTAGACAAACAAGTGTTCATTGATGTACACTCAATTGATTGCACATGAGTCGAGCGTTTTAGGAGTGCAAAACGATTAGATAACCGATCTTCCACTAGGTTTCTGCAATATTTAGGTTACGAGGATGTGACGACAATTGCACTACATTGTCGCCTTTGCACAACTTCTAAAAAGGCATACCTTGGAGGCATTTAAGCGAGAACTTAGGTACTAGGACCTAGCCTTTTAAGTACCTAATGAATTGTTTGTGTCTTGGAGTTGGCTGAAGGCCAGTTGCCTGATGCAATACTAACGAAGTTCGTGGTGCAAAAATGGAAATATTTTACGTTATTAGCTCTTACTAATACAGTGCATATCTAAGAACATTTAACTGATTATTTGAAGTCTCTTATTTTCCGACAATTTGAAACAGAGCAATTAGTCAATGTATGAATCATAATAGACCCGTACATTATTTGCTACGATTGGCAAAAAATTTACTTGGACCTTTTAGAGCTAATCTTTGAAAGAGTTCTCAACCTTTAAAAACGCTTGAGACATTCTTGCCCGAATGGGAATAGTATTTTTGGAAAATTTCAGTTCTTTTCCCGTTTTTATTCATACTTTTACTGTGGGTATGACCTTTCTTGGGATTTGTTGACATTGTTAGGATTTGTAGCTGTTAATAACGAAGAGGAGCTGTCTGAGCATTTCATTTAAGTCAGCTTTTATCTGGCGACATTCCAGCCTTCTAAATGAAAGGTTCTGAGCATGATATGAACGTCCTGCAGCTACAGGAGCACCGTCACATTTCTCCAGCTATAGCACCCACAAAAAGGAAAAGTATTTGTACGTGGATGCTTCCTGCTACTAGTAAAGAATAACTATTAGCCAAAGTAACTGACAAGCAGCAATCCTATTTTATAGGCATGTTTTTGGGCATTCCTGATTGCATTCTAGGTTGTTTCAAATTGACGTCGACAGTACCCGTGCGCCCGAATTATGCTCAAGTCCTTCGTCTTTACTATACGGTTTTGTTTATTATACAACACATAACGACTTGCAAAAACTGAATGGCATGTATATTTCCAAGCGAAATAAAGGTCTCTGCTTTTTTCCCTCGAGGTCAGCAAGAACGGAGCTGTCATAAGTACGAGACTCAATTAGACGGGTTATTATAGTTTATGACCCTTGAAAATGAGCGCGTTAGGCTAATGTTTTTTCTCGTTTTCTTGTGAAAAGGAATAGTCCGCTTGCAAAGTACGTAGCTAATTTGGCTCTCATAGCTTCGACAGTCCTCTTATTCCGTCCACCATTGTCCTAACATAGGCGCTCCGGTGGTTATCCATATAATTAGACATTTTTTTTTCAGTTCATCCGTAAAATTCTCGGAGCACATTTCTTCTCTTCTTTTTACGACCGAAAACGACTAGTTATAATCGTAAAAGGTATGACGAGATTCATAACTACGCAGAATGCTTTGTAAACTGTTTCAGATTAGAGTTTGCGTTATAGCGTGGTAGCTAGAGTTAAACGTATATTATACCGTTGTTAACTGTGATTGTTCGCCTAAATTAAGTCCTCTAAAAGGTCTGTTTGCGACCTTTACAACTGATTTTTTAATATTAACTCTAACTATTGTGGTGTCACTTAGCTAGCACGCATAGAAACGATTGAAATTTGTATTTTAGGTCAAAACATTAGAATAATAAAGCTATTCCAGCTAGGTGTTGTATTGTAATTGGTATTATTACAAATCTGAGCACCAAATTGGATTTAATCTGTATATGCATTGCTTGGATCTAGCACGGATTCTTCTGAAGGTGGAAGAAAACATTCAAGCTTCAGCGATATTTTGCGATTTGTTATTTGATTAGTCAATATGTTAAGGGTGAAACAAGTTCGCCTGATATCCACCTATCTCCTCAAATGCCCTCAGCAGTAGACAATAACTCGTACTAGTTGGAGCAAATGTACCTGTTTTTCTTATTAACAGGAGAATATGAAAGATTTTGCCGATGCGCCTGCTGTATCCTAGAGTTCAAAACCTTGATTATGTGAGATATGTACTTATAGGTCGGACACTTCCGGAGCTGATCCTCTTTTTCATGATTGTTCCGCACTTTCTTGCGTGCTGCTGAGCTTGTTGAAATGTGTGATTAAACTGGTCAACATAACGTCTGGTAAATATAATGTCGGGCTCGTAATGGGTCATAAGCCGCATGGGGCAAAAGTGCACAAAGGTTTTTCAGACAATTCTAAAGGGAGGGGCGGAGGAAGGGGATAAGGATGCGCCACGGAATGCTATATCAAGCAAGGAGATTATATGATAGTGTAATTATGGATCTTTGAGGCAGTGACCACTGGTTTTTCAGCTAAAGACTTAGTCGTTCAAACAACCACATCTATAGTAAATGCATATTGCAATTTGGAAAGCGTTTTCAAGGTATTTTACTGACGGGGTAAACTGTACCCCCAGATATTATTTACCTGGCCCGAAAGCGTGACAGTTTTATTCGAATACAAAACCTTGTTGACGAAATTTAGAAGGACTCATTCTGTCATGATCGAGTTTAAATGCATAAAGTTTGAAAGGCACATGAAAATTACCAAACCACTTCTATTGACGGCAAGCTAGACTAATAATTATCATCGTATTGTTAAAGGTAATTCGTAGTATATAATTTTAAAATGACATCGTAAATACTAAGCAAAGATCTTCTGTGCAGCTTTAATAACGGACCGCATAAAACGCGTCAGTACATCCAAGGGTACTATGAAGAGTGCATTTGCTTCCGGAAGTCGATCACCCTCTAAACTTCCAAACGATCATTTCTCTAAATTGTCACAAAACTTATCTTGAAACATACTGCTACTGCGTATTCATCAAACTTCAAGTTAGTCCGTATCTCAAAGCTCAATAATTTGTATGCAGACGCTTGTCATAAAATTGAACAGAGGCGTTCCATCTAGGCACAGTTGACAGTGTGCATTTAGACCCGTTGTTTTAAAGATCATCTCTGCTTATCATTTTACGAGGGCAACTTATGTCCTTGTTATATCTAATGCCAGCTATGCAATAATAGTGCTATCGGACGCCATCTTAGGCAATACATCTCTTTTCTTTCTGTGCATCAGGGTGACCGAGTTGTCATGGTAACATTTTTGATCCGATTTTTTCGTCTTTTTTTAGATAGTAGCAAGTGTACGTACCGAGCAAACAGAAACTACGTTTGTAAAAACGCTATTATCGTTTTAAAATTGTTTTCTGGTAAATACGAGCAGCTGGATATTTTAGTAACTAGCTTCTCTCTGAATCGCCTCTCCTAATTAGCAGAAAACTTCAACACTGCTGTCTCCAACATCCGGAGTATCGTCCATTTCTTAAAACCTTTTTTATTTAGCAGCCCATTAAAGTTTGCTTTCTAAATACACATGCTATGTATGCTCGTTATAGAGCTTGAGTAAGTGACTCCTTGAACTGCGGATACGGGTGCTGTCTCTTAACTGCGTCCGCTTAGAAAGTTGTTGCTATCTGACAAAGCAAAAGAAAGACTGATCCTCAGTGTTTAAATGAGTATCAGATTTCTAAATAAGCTTGAGAGTGAGGGCCTAAAATTAACAGGATAATATGATTGTCTCTGTTATCATCTCAGAGCTAAGACACTTGAGGATATCTGAAGTTTCTGTTGAATCTCAGTCAAGCTAGAGATTTTCTTCTTTATAAATGTACTTTAGGCTACCCCAATACCCTCCGAAATCGCGGAGAGATGGTTGATATGGATTGATCAAGCTAGTGGATGAGTGAGTTATTGTTCCGTCAACAATTGCAATGTATTGGTTAATGGGACGAAATTTAAAACCAAATAACTGCGAAAGCCGATATTGCTTTACGCTATGAGTTCAGAGTTCTGAAAAATTGTCGAATTGCAGAAGAAGTTAACCTCTTAAAAACATCTCGATCTTTTTCTTGGTCTATTTAGTTAGTTTTATGTTGTTACGGAACTGCAAACTTTGGAATCTCTATAAGCCTAGCTTATTCCACAAATATTTTCAACGATGCCAGACGTTATCCACTCGTGTGTCGGCAGTTTGTCCTTGTTGTAAAACAGTATCGATTTTGTCCGTGTCCAATTTGCGCCGTGATCCAATGTTATGATGCTGTAAGCAAAAATCTATCGTGTTATTACGCCGCTCGATAGAAACTTGTTAATCTCAAACGCCAAAAAAGCGGTAACAATAGTCAGGTGTGTTCCGGGCAGTACAAACACTATCACGTATCTGCATTTATTTGTATTTAACTAATTTTTGTCTCCTTATTATATAAATGAAAATATCGCGACTAAATAATGTATTCCATTTAATTATGGCTACAAGCAGCCAAGCTTAAACATTCACTCATCCGTTTCCGCGTCACGTATAAGCGCTACACTCTGTTAAACATGGTCATCCTATATTTTGCGATAGTAAAACATTTAACGTAGTTCAAGTTAACCGGGTGCAAACTCAAGTTCAAGTACGTAAACGTAACGTCAGACCGGTAAACAGCCACATGACAATTGTGTCAACTTGGTGAATCACTAGAATTGCCTGTGGATAACGTATTGACACCGAAGTATTGCATGCACCTGTTTTACCACGTTACTTTGCTACATTAATAATAGTATATAGAGGTGAGTGAATCAAAATCTCTCTCTCTCTCTGATGTTGCAGTAGACGTGCAACAGGTGCGTACCAAACCGTTGTTACTAGAGGCATTGAATTTGTCGAGAGGAGGAAAGTTTTGATCAGAGAAATTAAGTCTCACTGAAGAAAAGGCATAACAGCTTTTGTTTGTTTTTTAATTTAATGCATAACAGATTGTTGGCTTCGTTGTTTAATCAATTTCATATAAACTATTGCAGCAATAAACTATTTATTATTTCGATTGAATTAGAACGTTTCAAAGATTTAGAAAAAAATTGTATGCTAAGTGACGTAAAATACTGTAGCTTCTTCATAAAGTACATGCATCTCTCTATTCTAGAACCTATCTCGTTTGTAAGCAGCACTTGGATACTGGATTTTGCTGGCCTCTGCACTTATAAGAACGGACAGAACATGAAATTTGGGACCTATCAACACGACGGGCCCAGTTTTCCCCCATCCAATGCTTTGTAATTTTCATAATTCGTCATTTAATTTATGATGTATGGGAAGCGGCAGAAGTAGGCTTAGAGTTTTTGATAACGTAGCGTTACTGGCCGAAGGAGTAGGTTTACAGTTGGGATAGAAACAAAAGTCTACTCAGTTAGCTCTTGCGTATATGCGCGGTTTTTATATAGAAGAATATTACCAGAATGTACCTATTATTCTATAATTATCCCAGTCGTAACTTATGGAAGATGGCAACCCTTCACTGGCATTCCGCCAAACATAGCTACGTTTGAATACTTAACAAATGTACTTAAAGCCTATAGAGTTATTGAGTATACAGTTAATTTTAAACTTAGCAGAAAAGTTTTCCCAGATTCACGACATATCACACCTTCATCAGTTGCGCAACATAATCGCTTAGATCATCGTGGAAGATGCTTATTTGCCTTGATAAAATGAATAAATGTACAGTCAATTTAGAGTCAAGCTGTTTATTTATATCAAACGAAACAGCAGAAGTCAGCCGTACCTAATGAAGTTGTCGAGTTCGAAATGTTAGGCGCGCCTATCCTATATAGCCTATAGATTGCATCTACTTTGACTACTAAGCTACGTTTGACAAGATCGAATCGTATAGGCATGCCATATTGACCCGGCAATACATCGAAGGGACTCAACAATGTTTAGGAGCCACTTGCGCTCATTTCTTAACGATGTAAAAGAATCGACATCGTGACTTCATAATTTTAGAGTGTAAAATTGAACCCTGACCAATGCTATGCAAATAAAAAATCTCAGTTTACATACCTATCCACCATCCCTGGTGCATATGAAAGCCGCTATTTTTAGCGTCGTCTTTCTCTTTTCTACAGTTAAATTAATTTTTGTTGAGCAAAGGCAACGGGCATTGTGATGCGTTCTCTCGCTCCATGACAAAGAACGAACATAGCTGCCTAAGGAAATGGTGCCTGCTTGAAAGCAGCTCAGATTGAATATAAATAACGTCGTGATGTATCCGAAGTTCGTGATTTTTAAGCTAGCAAGCCTGCTTTGTAATTGACGTCTAACTATAAACTACGTTTAGGATCCAGCAAGAATTACGCGAAGTGAAACACCATGAAATAGGGACTAGAAAATGTTTATACAAGCGATAACGGAAGGCATCTTTTTAAATTAATGTTATAAGCGTTCTTTTTTTTTGTTGCAAATGAGTAATGGAACATCACACGATTCTTGATCTTCTCTCATCTATTATACAAAGACATCTGGTTCAATATCCCTGTACACATGCGTCTGCTAGGAAATTGCTGCAAGCGGACAAAGAAAGAAAGTATGTAATTTCTAATGCGTTAATAAGCATCGCGCAGCAATAACGTCAAATAATAGAAAAACACTTGATGGTACGATTACTCAGAAAGCATAATCGAAAATTCTCATTGACATCAATTGGAGAAGTAACGTATTTAGGCTGCGCCGTAAACGCGTACGTCAGCCTTAGCAGCATGAGCTGTCGGGAACTTCTGTAAAAGGCAGCCAAAGGAATAGTTACAGACGTCCTGAATGAAGGTTAAAAAGGACCCGAACAGGCAAGAACAGAGAAAACGATAAAGCGAGTGCTGCAGTGCGTAGGAAAGAAAGAAGATGAAGATAGCAAACTCAGCTAGCGGTAAGGGAACGGCCTCGGATGCGTAAGGAACAAAGCACTATTGCCGCTTGCAGCAGTCCGATCTTTGCAGACGTAGAACTTCGACGACAAGGAGGAAGAGAAGGCTGTGTTTACTGCTTACGAAGGAGAAGGAAAAAAGCGGAATGTTCATACCCCTCTGAATCGATTTGTGTCACGAAGACGCGATGCAGCCGATAAATATCGACAAACACTTTCGAATATTGCGCTGTGATTGTGCGTGATTCGGAGAAGTAATATATGCGAGCACAATAAGAATCATGATATTAATCAATACAAGCGGCTTGATCAGCTATCATACCCGAGGGAACATGGTATGCGAACCCCGAGAATACTATTACGTGCACAGTGTACAGCGGCACACCAATCCCAGAGGGATGGATGGCAAGCCAGATTACTTCAAAAGGTTTTTAGCTAGCTATGAAACATTTTTTAGGATGTCATAGTATAGCGTGATCCTGTGCGCTTAACCTAATTTACCGTCTTATTATAGCTAAGGTGAATAAAGAGAGCTGCGTATGCAGAAATTGGCCACCAGGTGTGCCCGTCAAATGCATAGAATAATGTTTAAATAGATGGCTCCTAAATAAATCCTAAACACTTGTTGACATACGTCGAACAAAAAAAAAAGAAAAATATCGATGGTTTTTTGTCCTCATACTCAAATGTATGATGTCGTGGATTCTTCATGACAAATGTTTAATAGTTTAAAACGTAAGAAATATATATGCTATAGCTCTTTCTAAAGCTTCCACTCATAGAGGCTACACTAATCCATTGTAAAATCGAAATGAAAGAGAAAGTTCACGCATTGATTACAAATGTTATTCTTATTTAAAAACGGTCCCGGAAGATTTTATTGTTATATATATGCAGAAGAACAAAAAAATTTTGGTGTGAGAGGGGTCCTAGCTAACACGCAACCTAAACGAAAGTAATGAATGGCAGGTCTTTGACAGAAATACTGACAAACATCATATAGAAGGATACGAGTACTATCAATACACGTTATTAAGAACGCTAGATTTTCCGGCATAAGGCATGGCCTTGCGATGGCCGATGCCTGTAGTGCACATTGCTTATCCGCTCGTCAGTATCAGCGAAAAGGTGACAAGTCGCATACGGCCAACGGCGGAACGGGCCAAATATTCTACCGTTTTCTTGCGTCCAGCTCAGACACTTGTAGAAACAAGCAACACGCTGATAATACGCTCGCACACACCCATCACATAGTCATGCAAACGGAAACGCGTACAAAGACAGAAATGGTCAGCTCATTAGTGTTTCCATTTGTACTGACTCCAATGACGTGTCTAACAACAGCAGTCTGAGCTTCCAGCCTGCAATCTCTGCCTTTAGATTTTTACCGACGAACGTTCGCCTGTTGCCGGTCCCTGAGCTTTACCTCTTAGAACGGAAACGTACGTTTTCCATTCAGCATCGCTATTATACGTTAACAAAAAGCTATCCGTCCTTCGGTGGTTCAGAAGAGTCATAAGACGACACTTTAATGGGTGTTCGAGCGCAAATACATTGTGTACAAAACGGAGAGACAGACCTATCCAATTGTGTCGTTAGCGTTTTTGAAGGCAGTCAACAACCACATCAGATGATGGGGTCCCCATTTTACCGTGTGTACATGCTACTTGTTAACAACTATTGTCACTATTAGCGTAAAATTACGAGAATGGCATTATTAGTTTCCTCGTTTAAACTTGAACCGCCCGGTTAGACACGAATACATTTACCTTCCAATGACTGCGACGTAGAACATCCTGCGGACGTATTTTTTATATTATGTTGTAATGTGTAGTCTTTGTTTCAGCTTCACAGCCGACCAGGAAATGTGTTTGAATACGTAAAGAATAGTCGTCGGAAATCTCTTGATGTCTTAAGCAGGAAGGCGGCTAACTTTTAAGATGCAGATGAATACTTAGTCGGTAAGTTTTTATTAGAATGGCATCTTTCCCATGCCGGAAACATAGACCAGAATCTTTGTCTCATTTATGTAGCAAATCTGCTTTTGTGTACTAATTTCCATCTGTCTTCTTGCGTTTTAACTGGCGCTATCCAACTTTTTCAGCGCATTTACGGACTCGGGATGTAACGCAACGTTCCTCCAACACCAATTTCTTAAAGTACAAGCCGATCACTGCCCTTTATATCTGTTCAGATCTGTGCAATACCAGAAACAAAATGTACTGCCTCAGTTATATTGATTAGCGTAGCTCCTTGAGTGAAGGTTATCGCCGCCGTAACCATGCTCATCTATTTAATTAAATTACACCATTATCTTAGTATAATGGTGTAATATAATAATTTTATGGTTCTTGTATTTATTATATAGGCACATTAGTGAGAGATACGTAGTTTTTGCCTTCCGCTCTCGGCCTTCTGTGCACTTGTGAAGATACAGTAGACCGCCTAGAACATTATCGCCTTAATATTACAAGCTGCATAACCGCGGTTTACGGCATACGGCACGAAGCTATCAATATTTGAAATACTATATGTACATATATAGCGGTTCCCTGAGTGGTCAGGCAGGCATGTATGCCATGCGGGGCTTAGTCCCTGAGGAACTTTAGAGAGACAATAGCGCTCACTCTAAGACATGCGATAGCGAGTTGGCAAGCATGCAGGATACTTTTAAGATGAGCATACCCAACAAGTTGGTTTGTGGACTAGGGCCCGTCGCTATATTGCGTGAGATCGACAAACACAAGCTTATAGTACCTTATTCTTCTGAAATAATTCCTTTATAAGGGCGTGGTAGATCTTTCGGGCCAGCTCAGATGGACAAGTAATCTGCAACAATGTATTGCCTTTAGGTTCAGCAAGAATATAAACATTATTTCATACGAGTTTATCTAATTCCGTGATAGACATACTTGATGAGACGGTGTTTGTCAGCTGATGCCTAAATTTCGAGTCAGTTGAACAATAGCCTCTATGGTATCGTACTATAATTTGCTCAATAATACCTCTACAAACGACATTGAGCTGATCATAAAGTACGATCTGTTGTTCAGTTACTTCAGCTACGCGGCTTCCGTGTTGATTATGCCGAGTGCTAAACAGTACTAGGCCTGAAACGGTCTTTGCAGATGCCTACATACCATAGATCGGTGCTATACAAAACCCTATAGGTTTATCATTAAATTGGCGTTGTTCGAGCTGGAATTGGGCTTGGAACAGCGGTCTGCATAGAATTTCTCGTTTACCAATTTGTATTTATTTACCAGTAGCTATGTATAGCGATGGGTGCACACCCGAAAATAGGGTACTGCGAAATAACAGATCGAGAATACCGTTCCCTGATCGATTATAAATGTTACACTTATGAAACTGCTGATACGGCCATCAGCTTTAAATAGAAAATGGTTTTGCCCTGCGTGCTCAGGTATGCATTGTCTACGAATGTTAAATAATGCATCGAATCAATTATAAATTAAAATATCTATAACATTCTGAGAAGAGAGAAAAATAAGGATATGTTTATTGTTAAAGAGATCTTCCGGATGTTACGTTCAGTATTGCATAAATTAGGTATTAATTGAAACGTTCGTCTTCTTTCTGCGTGACACGTGGCGAGCTTAAATCCGCTGTCCAATTTAGTTAAACTCACGTAAGCCTAAATTTGGTAGACAAACATGGTACCACTATACCATTACGGGGACAGAATACCATCGTAGTTTGTCAAAGGATGACTTTACAATAAGGTTTAGGTTAGGATTTCAACTGCATGCATTTTATAGTGCAGTGGTTTTCTTTCCTTTAACCTCTCACGAGGGAAGCACAAGCACTTGCTGAATTTTGACCTATTTATCCGGCTCTACTTACTTTCGCTTTTAGTTAATCCTCGCTTTCAGCATAGATTATAGATCCAACAGGGTTGGTCCTATGCGTAATTTCCCGTAATAAAAATGCCCGCACTGAAACCTGTAAATCGTAGGCATGCGATTAGTACGACCGTCGTTATTTAACGAACACTTCGGATCATCTAGCTAGTTGAATATGTATGCCTTAATGCTCTGTTTGCCCTAACATGGATACCTGTAGTTCAATACGGCAAGGAAAATCTCTCCATTAGTTAGCGTAGAACAATATGTATGTATCTATAAGTACATTAATAATATTTTTATATAATAATAATAATAACCAACTTTTTTCTCAGGAACGATCATGAAATGTTGTCTATACTTTTTGATCTTGTTCAAGGTTCCGGTAAACTTTTTTGCCCTATGCAAGACATATATTGTTTTTTTTCACTCTCACGACATATGATGTACGGACTAGTAGCCTATACATCGGAATATGTCCTGAAACTAGCGGAAGGCCCACCCGGAATTTTGCGAAAATTGAGCTGTGCAGATCAGAATGTATATTAAATTGTTTAATACTAATTAATTACTTCGGGGTTACTTCTGCAACCTTTACTTGCACTTTACGTAAAAAGTACCAAAAGCTACTACACAAAACACTAAGTAACATTTATGGCGTATAGTTGAATGTAATATTGAAACTTTACGTGAATACGGCGATAATCTTATCAAGTTATGTATAAAAACGTACTACCTCAATGGCATTTTGTCAGTATTAACAATTACATAAACAAACGAAAATGCTTTGTCAACATTTCCTTGGAAGAATTCGAGAAATGCTTGAAAAGGCTGAAATATAAAAACTTAAACCGCTTGATTGTTGAACCCTTGTGGGGTAGAACAAAGTACTTAGCAGTTACTCATAAGACACTGATTAGGATTTTCTTTACAACATTTTGGTGATGGACTCACCTGTATTTTCACTTGCAATAGTACAAAAAACACCATTAAAATCGTCCTTTATGAAACACCAGCTGTTTTAAGTGACACTAACTGTACTTATGAGATACTTAAACAGTTGAAAGGTTCGCGTATCCATCAAAACATTAAACTTACTAAGATATAGCATTTGATTTCGTAGTCATAATGGATAGAACAGGTGGTCATTGGTTTTACCGAAGCGTTGCTGGCCTGTCTAAACATAAATACTAGTCTAACGCGTTTGTTAACCTGAACCAGGAGGCCCTTCTAACTCTTCCTTATATTATAGTGAAGATGAAATTTTATCACGGTACTGCACCACTTTGTTTAGCCCTCAAACAGCCACGAAAGAAAACTAAGATTGCTACGTGCATGAGAATCGATGAAGGAATTTTTCAAGATGGTTATATTTGTGCGTTGCGCTCTTAGGGATATTATTGTATTCAGTAATGAACGTAGAAACGAGGTTTGCGCACCTCGCTTCCGTAGCGAGGTCTGACTTAGATAGATAGATAGACGTAACAACATTACAAACGATGTGATTATAATTGCATTGTGTCAGCAGGATGGTTCCATTAGCCAGCGGTATAACCTTTTTCGTCTAGGGTTCTCGCTTTTGTACCTATGGGAAGCGAGAAGCTGTAGGATAGTGAATCAGTGTATAGCGGCAGCCTGAAAGCTAACTGAGGTATTATGCAAAGTAGATACAACACCGCATAACTGACCTCAGCGCTTCCTTCTAGGAGGTGAAGCACTTTCTGGCTTGCCTAAGGCACGCTTTACCTTGTCCCACGTAGTAAATCGGAATCCCGTATGCAACGCGTGTTCCTCGCTTTACGAATTGGGTAGCTCCAAACCAAGTACTATGTGATTGCTTTCTGTCCTATGAAACACCGCACAGTAACACATAAAAATACGAATTACACTTCTAAGGCCACAACGAAAAATGCAAGGCAATGCGTATTTTCCGCTTGTTGTATCTTCAAGCACTAAATACACTAAATTTCTAGGTTACTTTTACCCGTATGTACGGACCCACAGACATTTTAACTCTCTGGTTTACAGCGCTATGTAAGAAACGTGTAATACAAATGTGTCCATACTACTCTATATTAAATTTAAATGACTCGCTAAATCTGCGAAGCCCGTTCTGCTTTGTCTTATGAGCATAACACTTAGTGCCGAAGGTGTGTTCGTAGCTAAAACAAGCACGGTGGTTTAACTTTACTACAAATCTATTTTGGGCTTCGGTCAAGGGCAAGGCAATATCAGCACCCAGTCTTGGCATAATGGGCATGCCAGAAAAGGAACCGTTTCTCCGTTCAGGCAGACGTTCGCTTAAACGTTTCCTGTTGCCGTGATTGGCTAAATGAAATGTTGAGATTTATTAGCTCGATAGAAGTTCTATTGCGGGTCACATCTTTTCGTAAGCCTTTCTTTAACTGATGCGTAGATAAACCTAGATTTTAAACGCCTGATCAAATTTCAACAGTTAAAGTCTTCACTGGCAGTCGAAAACTCAGCAATAAGAAGTAAGAGACGTGAACTCAACAATGCAAGAGGTAAACCTTAAACAGTTGGGATTCCGTCTCATAGATGAAGGGAACGACTGCTTCTGATATGTCTACTCGAACAGCGCAGCTAGAGGCTTGTCCAGTCAGTCGAATTGCTTTGAGTAACGACTCGAAGCAACGGCGTTGTGCGACACTATATCTCGCTAAGCTACGTGAATCACTATGACGAACAAAGAAGCCATCACGAAGCAGGAGGACCTAGCCCAGAGGGAATTTACAGTTGGAGAAATTGTACACGCTTTGGAAAACATTGCCTTAGTACGCCTACATAGGTTGAACGTTTTCATATTAGTTCCCCTGGCGAGGATCCACAAAGCTACCACCTCAATGCAAAGATTTTGTTGTCTCGTTAATTCCTAAAGATAACGGAAAACCTAATTATCATACTAATACGAGACTGCATCTGCCTGTATAATCTGCCGCGCTGTTCGTTGAAAATTTTAGGCACAATGTCAGACAAATAGCGACCGGTCTGTTTACAGAGAGCATAAAAAGAAAAATTCGCCTAACTTGATGCGATTTGATGGCGCCGCGAAAGACAATAACTTGTACGAAGAACTTGACCTGAATGATAAAAATGAGAAAAAAGAACCATATTTCCACAAATTCAATACGTAATACACTTGTAGTAAATATGGAAAAAGTACCATGTGTGCCACTGCTACTTGGTATCTAGTAAGGCTAGTAAGGAGCCTTATTTAAGCAAATACAGTTTCCTTAATGTTTTCTACGCATATAAGCTTCTCTATACATGTATGACATAAAGTGGCCCTGTTAACCTGCTCATGCTTATGACGTTTTAAGGAAAAAATGAGCTAAAAACAAGCTTTCTTGTAACGCACACACCTTTACGGATCTGTGATTACTCTGTTATTTCGTCACAAATATTAGACGTCCGTAATGAAACGAAGCATATGTATTATGTGCTATTTACGTTATATCAGTAATTCTACTAACAATAGTAATATTAATAACGAACACGCATCTCGCAATATATCATCATCTACTTACCCGTATCGTGTATAAGCATGATTGATTTCCTTCCTGCGCATTGTCCAGCAGTAAATTCCCTCCTCTCCTTAACCTATATATTTTCCCATTGTTTAGAACATGTGAAAATTCCATTTGCAGACTTCTTTTGTTTTTTTTTTTTTGTACATTCTCAGATCAACCTTCTGTTGTGGTTCTGGTCTGTTAGAGCTAAATTAGATATGAGTTAGATTACAGAAAAGTGTGACTCGGTACAAGGGTCTTCGGTGATCCTTGCCAATAACCATACAATATCACATACGCTCCATAATATTTTCTTAGCAAAGAGAAAGAAAACGAGGCTTTATCCATCAACAGCCGGGCTCTACATATGACAGGCTTTCGGGACCATCTGTTTGGTATTGCTTCAGGCGTCATCGAAAGGACACTGATTATTGTTATGGCTTATTGTGGCACTCACTAGGAGGCCTATAAAGCGACAACATAATTTCCACCGTCTCGGTGAGCAAGTACGCGAGCCAGCAAAGAAAAACTGAGGAACAGCTGCCCTGCTTGATCGGCGACAATTTTGTTCGAGTGTACTAGAAACATACGATTCTATAATATATGCGCCGGCTTTATAATATTGTAGGCTATAAAAGTGGGTTGTTAGTAACAAAGATTATTTTTACAGCTCAGAGGCTAATGCGCTATATAGATTACACTACTCCAGTATTTGCCGAAACTCTAAACCTCGTCTTCTTGGACAATAGATTTTATATTACTTCAACTTGAAAATAATAATTTGGTGATAGGACCCGTGTCCTGATTTTGTCGCGCTCCAGTGTGCTACGTACCAAACCGTAGTTGATGACGTTTCTTGATTAAGCTATTGATGCGAAGTTCCTGATTCTATTCTGTATGATGTATTTTATTAGTTCTGACGTTTCACGAGATTCGGTCGTACTTTCAACGTTGGCGTCTCGGAGACCTCGGAATACCTGCGCTATTCTTCTTACATCGCATAGTCCTCTTTTATTCTGTGTTCACGTTTTACATTAGGTATTATGAATCTAGAAAAAGCTTTGCTCAATTCCTCAAAAATCGTTCTAAATAATAGCATGATGGCCATTATAACTGTTCTGTTCAGACGGTTCTAATATTTGCTAGAAAATCAAGTCACGAAATATCTATAAGCTGAGAATGAAAGTTCCACTTTCACAGAAATCAAAATAAACGAGCAGTTTATTATAAATATAAGTAATCACCTTATGTTTCCATATTAATACCCACGCTACGAAGTCTCCCAAGTGCATACTTTTTAGCTAACAAAATTATGCCACATTCGGTTTTAATGTTTAAATATCTACTTCAACGATAAAACAAACATGTATTGCATTTTAACTCATGGCTAAGATCTAACGGTTGGCGTCTAGAAATGGCGCGCTAAGACGATTTTTTAGATATGTTGGCCCTTCCCTCAGGAAATCTCTCTAGAAAATATGTTTGTCAAAATCCGTTTTAGTAAAATGTTTTTCATGCAAACCATTTCAACTTTTAAAATGGATATCTATTAGAAATTCGTTCAAAAAAATCGTTTCAAAAACCCTCGGAACAGATGTTTATCCCCATGACCACATAAGGGAAATAGTTATTGTAATGTTTTTTCTTCTTTTGTTGTCCATTTTATGTTGAATTTTACTCAGTTTATCAAAATCTATTGACTAGCGCCAAGAAACGGCTACCTTATGTGAAAATTTGCCTTTGAATATCTTAGCGATTTTCGCCGAAAGAAAATAAATTCTACTTCAGCCGCTTTATATGACATTTTTAGAAATTCGTTCAAAGAATCATGTGGGAACACCTTTTACCGCAACTAAAATTGGTACAATCAATCGCATTTCTGACTCTTTTCACGCCAAGAGATTTATTTTAGGTATGAAAACATCTACCTAGCTCTATCGATTGGTAGCAACGAAACCCATACGCAAAGCATTTAAGGATAATTGGTTTTTTACACCTCAAATGACGTTGTCAACTTTCAAACTGAAATTTGTTTCGGCGCAAGGTTCTGAATGTGCCAAAAATAGCGTTTCTAGATAGACTTCTATCTAGATTGTCACTCAGAAAAAAGAAATTATTTAAAAAATACAGTTTAAATCAGTCCCCGCAACTTTTAATAAACATGTATAAAGGATTCCGACTAAAAGTCCTTTGGCAAAGGCTATTTCAAAAACGAACTCCGGAAATGGCGGAAAATCCCAACCAGCAAAGTGGGCTTCAATCGTCCTGCTGTCATGTCGCAGTTATTTCATCAACGTGTTCTAATATATCATTTGTATTGCACCTAACCCTTTACGTAAGTTCGATACCCTGCTGTATTTAATCTGTTTCCTATTTAAGTTAATTGCACCACCTGGGAAAAAGTACTTATCCAATCAAAAATATGCAACTTATGCCGAGATGCTTCGGGTTTCATCAACCATTATCAAAATTAACTAAATTAACATTACGTCATTCCTATAAGGAAATTGAAGTACCTCCTGAAAAAATGTTCGCGCACTTAAAAAAATTAGATGAGATTTGTCATTAACTTTAGGTAATTTTGTCAAAAACCACTTAATGACTAAATCCAAAAATATAAAAAACCAACATTTTTCACGTTTAGCACACCTTACGAATTCAGCGTTGCGTAGAACTTAAGAAAATAAACAACTTTCCGATATAAACTTTAAGAAATTCTCGAATCGAATTAACAAAACTCCAAAAATAATCAGTTTGCCACAATTAATAGTATGCTTTATGGGAATAAAAAAATTGTCTTCTAAGGAAAAAGATTATTTATTTGATCATTCCCATCTCATGCGCAGCTTTTGTCGGGATGAGACTCTAGACATTGCACGGGTCGGTTTGAATCGAATAAGTAGATAAACACACAATTTATAATAAATATAGTAAATAAAGTCTAGAATGACCTGCAGGCTTTGCTTCACCTCTATTCTGCCGTTGAATCCGTCACCTGGTTTAGTTCGTTTCTTTCTTTTTTCTAGGGGTTAAGGGTAAACGCTTGATTGCAGATTAAGCCTTATATCTAAAATACTGCTTGGCGCTGTGAGGCCCATATCCACTAAAACGCCGGACCTTAACAACTTGGCCCGTTACTTGAAACTACTTGCGTCGTGCAGGGGATGGCAGGTTTGCCTCTAAGGAGACCAGCCCATGTTCCATTGTCCTGTTCTTCTCTTTTCCTGCCTGAGAGAAAATCGAATCTTTGTCCTCTAATCCTTTTCAACTTTTTCTTTTCTTGCATCATAATCTCAAGGAATCTGCT